CATTCTATGATTCTATGATTCTATTATGGCATTTAATACGACTTAATAGAGATACCTACTATGAATATAGATTCCATTTTTTTCTCCAAAATTCCATCTACTAAAAAAAGGCAGGTAGCTTGAATAGTATATTACCTGTATCTTTATTGTAAGATGAAATTTTTCCAGTGTTTTCTTAAAAATCTAAACTTGAGCTTCTGTTTCTGTGAGGGCTAGCAGTGGTTCGGAAATGTTGCAAAATGTTACAGTACTACTTACAAACCACACACTAAGTGCAACATGAATATTCATCTACATTCCAGGATGTTCATCGTCTGCTTATATCCATCAAAATACAGAACATTTGTTCTGCAAATGCAGGTTTTAAACACATGCCTCCTGTCAGATTTAACCTGCATACAAACAAAGTTAATGGAACAAGGTGCTCATTTTGTTGTGGGAGCATGCAATATAAATAACTATTTAATAGTATGTCTTTCAAAATTACACAAGTGCTATATTCTGTTCTGTAACTGAATATTATTTCAGTATCATGGGAATTAACAATTTCTTTTTCTTACTAACCCATCCCATCCTAACCCACTGATGATGGGAGCAAAGGGAGGAGGCTGCCTCAGCTGGCATTCACAACCTTTCTTTGCTTTTTTTCTTTCCTTTGAAAACGTGCACTCTTCTCCTTCATCCCCAAGATAGTATGCAAATGAGGACAGAATCTATCCTGATCTGTAATAACTTCATCTCAATCATTACTCACATGAAAGGAGTAATTTGTAATTTTCATTTACAAAGATGAATGAGTGCTAAGATGGATACAGGATAGTTCAGTAGAGCATGCAAAGGCTTGAACTAGAAAATCGTATATTTCATTAACGTCTAGATTGCACTGACAGCAGATGCTACCAATTCCTTGCATTCCTTGAATTCAAGACCGCACAGAAACTTTGGGCCTGCTACTATAGGGTAACCAACTGCTGCCTGGAAATACTTTGGGAAACTTCTATTCACCTCTCCTATGCTAACCGGACCCCTTTCACATTGCTTCGCAAGTCGGGAGTTCTCATTCAGTCTCATGAGGAAGATGAATTTTTGTAAGAGCTGATGACAAACAGAAAAAAGACAAGTTGCATTGGGAGCCATAATGAGACATACTAATACAAGAGACACTAGCAGACTTCTGTATCGCTGCCAAGTGTGAGCAAGATAAAAAGACTCTTACCTTTCTAGTGTTCTGTTTGTTTGTTTTTTAAACTTCCACCTACTGCAGTGGTTCTGCCCACAGCATCCCCAATTCACCAAAACTTAGGTGTTTATCAGTTAAGGACCTCAAAACTTGCCATTTTATTGCAACCATGAAAAGCCAAACTTCATTCTCCTTCTGGAAGTGGAGACTGGTATTAGCGGAACCCCACTAATACCGTATTATCATCGTTGTAGATTAGGCCAGTGTTATCACTGAACGTTTTCATCAGTCACCATACAGATGACAGAAGTGTGGATTATTTAACATAAGTTCAAATCACTCTACACTTCCAATACTTGATTTGAATCCCAGTAGAAACACAGACTGTTAACGCCAATTAATACTAACAGAGGACGAAGTTCCTTAGGTGCTCAATGTAAAGTTCATTCCCCCTCCAAATGCAAGTCTTTATACAGCAGAAATTAATTTTCCACCCTTTTTTAGGGGAGCACACTTCTCCAAGGGGTGCGGAACGGCTCTGGGGTGGGGTGTAGGGGGCACATCCCACACATACCTGCTTGACTTCAGCCTGCAAGTGCCGCAGCTGCACGCACTGCTCCAGGTGCTTGCGGTGCTGCTCAGCTGCCAAGTCCAGCTCCTGCTGCTTCTCGTGGAGGAACTCCAGCAGATCCTGGACGCGAGTGGCCATGTCAACGTCTCTGTCACAAAGCAGCTCAACACCTGTAATCAAGGCAGTTGTTTAGAATTGGCTTACAAGTCTTCCAAAGACAATTTGCCCATTTTACACTTAACTTTTCCAGTTCCTTCTCAAAGGTCAACTTAATCCTCAGAGCATAGGTTTTTGCACTCTTTAAAAATGCAGTATTAGTTGTTTGTTTGTTTTTAAAAAAGCCTGAGATTTACCCTTGGTGACTGTATAAAATTAAACACACTAAGTGAAAGGGTGCAAGAAACAAAAAAGGAAGACATTACCTGAACGCTGAAAATTTTGGCTGGACTGTGTTGCTTTGATTAACTGTAAAATTAACTCCCTGATATTTACTCTAGTTTTGCTGACTTTGAGTGAAATCCCTTCCTTTAAAACCTAAACATCTTCAGGTGTTGCCAACTCTTAGGTAAAAATTACATGCCATAATAGCAGTATATTCTCATGAACACTATCAAATGATTCGAGTATAAAGTTAAAAAAAAACCCCACAAACATGTCCACGTCTCCGGTTTACAATAAACCGCAATCTCTGTCATTTTCACACATCCCATGGAGAGACAACTGGATAATTCTTATAAAGCCACTGCCCAGAATAGCATGAAGAAGCCTTCTTACCAGATGCCTGCACTTCATTGACATACTGCAGCAGATCCTGCCCTTGGTGAATGACATCAAAGGTCAAGTTATTCATGGTCAGGGCTTTGTCTGCATGATGCTGGAGCCTCTGTTCTGCTATTGTAAGATCTTCAGTGTCAAAGTCATTCATCTGCTGAGAGAGCTCATCATTCCAAGACTCGAGGTCTGAAATTATCTGAGGGAAAAAGGAGGGAGACAATGTTCAATTATCCATTACACAACTTATGTTTATTTCCAATGTTCCACTTATGATGGAGGTCAGGAACTTGAGCTGCTCATTGTTGACTGACTTCACTCATCAAGTTCGACATGGTTCAGACATAGGCTGCTTTAGCACAGATTTTAAATATTACAGCAAACAATCCCGAAGAATCTCTTTGAGAGCTACTACATTTCTCCTTCAATCAGTGCTTGCAATACTATGGGTACCCTTGCTCTGTGTAAGGTACTCCTTCACCAACACATCACTTGTGAAACAGATGAAGTTAAAATGTTTTTATCTCCGCTTTTAAAGGATAATGGTCTAAAACATCTTTTCCACTCTTCAGACTGCACCAAGTAATAATTCACACAATGAGAGCCAGCTTTGCTTTCAGCTATGCCAGTCTTGAGCCCTTTTACAAAAAAGCCAGCTTCATCCTTAGCACCAGGCTCCGTGAGCACCTTCTGCCTGACAACTGAGAAGCACTACTTGTCACAAAAGGCAGGGCACTTAGTGAACGGAGCAAAACGAAAAAGTATTACTTTATTACAGTGTTACTGCAATGTCAGAGCTAAATTTGCTTGCTGAAATCATTCAGCTTACACATTCATCACACTTCATTTTACATTTTAATTCTGAATTTTACTCTCAGTCATAAGATGCCCAAAGAAGGGTAGCTAAGAAAGTATTTTGTTTTAACACAGGTATCACAACAATAAGTCCACTTTGTTCACACAAGCGCATTTTCCAAATTATACAGCAAAACCTGTCTGGTATTTAAAATATTCCCTTCAGTAAGAATACAGAATTGTTTTTAAGTCCTCATTTATCAAACTGGATTGAGTTCTTATGGCACAGGTTTGATGCATCCGTTACTACAAACAAGTCTGTCTGACATACTTAATCCCTCAAGCTTGTAACATTTTTTTTTTTTCAGAATTTTCAGCAGAGTTTTGCCACAAACTACTGCAGTTCATTGGAAAAGCAAAATTATAGATCTCAAGAACCAAGTATGGCTTAGCTCCAGAGTTCTATGATTTCTGGAGTAGGACAAACTGATGTGAATGGTGCTAAATGACAGGAAAACACCTATATATGCAGCCAGACACAGCAAAAAGAATCTGACTAAACGGGCATTAGCAACAAAATAGCTGACTGCATAAATATTTAAACAAAGTCATTTGTTGTCAGCAAATGGAATATGCCACTACACAGCGGTTAATCAGAACCGTTAATTTACCTTGACAGTTAAACTACATGAGAAATTCCAGGAAAACAAGCCTCATACAAAAAACAGAATTGAGGAGAAAGCAAAGTTAAATAATCTGTATAAAGTTTCTGTAGTCAGCTACAACCTTTCTTGAAGGCTTGTTCCCATTCTGCTCACATGGCACCATGAAAAGGGGACACATCAAGCAATTCTTTTTAAAACTGTGGCACCAGTGAGTTTTAAAAGTGTTCTGCAAAAGTTTTACTTGATGTGCTAAGTATTCAAGTTTTTCCTCATGCCATGACAGGAGATGCCAAACAATTAAGGTAGCTATTTTGCACTCCCTAATCCTGATTAGCTAGCTCTACCCAAGTGAAAACAGGCAGAAACTTATGTTTCAGGGGTAACACTGAAAAGAGAAGAGTTGATGGACAAGGGATGCAGGAAGATGCACAGGACAAGGCTTTTAGTCACTGTTTAAAACATCTCTCATCTCTCTTCTGTGTGCTCTAAACACCACACAATCTATTTATGCATTATGAGTGGTCCCCCTCTTGACACACTTGCAGGCTTCCACTCCCACAAAATCCTTCACAACTTCCTTTTATTTTCCTTTTCCTCAGTCCATGCCCAACATGTCTCATCACCTCTCTCTGTTTTTCATCTCCTACTGATCTAAAAATATTTCACAAACTTCAAGTTTTCCTGACAATCCAGTCTGAGAAACTGCTTACTTCCAGCTAACCCTCTTTTCTGCTCTCAAGCACCTCAGACCTGCTCTTCCCAGCTCATCTTCACAGCTCCCTGTTCATTCACTGCTAAAAGCGGTGGAGGTCATCTAGCACTTGTTTCTTCAAACCACCCACTGCACTATGGAAAGTCTCACAAATCAGATTTACCATCTTATTTTCATCTAGTTCAGTTAATAACATTTGTAAGATATTCTCAAGAAGTAATGCTCAGATTTTTCAGTCTGATGAAGTCTAACTACAGTTAAAGAGGGTTGTGGAACTCCACCATCAAAACACCACCATTCGCCATCCTCCTGAACACAATTAAAAGGGGATTAAGATTTAGTGTGGCATATTTGTGCTACTGTTATTTATAAAAACAAAGCCAGAACGTCTCCCTTCAGAACAGATGCCAAAACCTTACTTCTCTTACTGTCAAACTGAGTGGAAATAAAGTAATAAATACCATGCGCTCACAATGGAAGATTGCTGTGGCTAAGTGTCAGTATTTTTATAATAATGGAATGGTTTAAGCAGTCACTGTGTCCTCTCAGACTGCCCTGCGATTCACTGTACCTGATACGAACAACTGGTAGTTTGAAGAGGTCAACACCACATGTCACCTCAGCCAAGAGGTTTCAGTGATACCACCTCCAAGAACAATAACCAACAACAGCAAGAATTATAACTTATTATATAGCATGTTATTTCACGCAACCCTGAGGTTAACATCATGGCCCACACATCATTGAAAGCAGTCTGAAACACTCTGTACAAGAGCAAGACATTCCCTGTCCCCTTCAAAACGCCAGGAAGCCCACAATTCAAATAAATAAATAATGCCAGCATGGTCCCACATTCATTCAAAAGATAAGAAGCCAGTGCACATCCCAGCTGGGGTTCCTAACAAGGGCAGTAATCCTTACATTTTTTTCAGCAGTAACTGAGTGGCTCAAGGTGATCTATTTCAGGCACTGCACCCACCGTGCAAATCCGAAACGCACTGATGGCAGAGTTAAACCAAAACTAACATGCATTAAGCAAACTCTGCCCACACTTTTCAGGGCTTCCCTGAAGTTGTGCTTTACAAGCAACGCTTTTAGAGTGAGCGGACTCCTATTTTATTTTTAAAGTTTTGTCAAGACAATTAGAATTAAACAAACAGAGCAAAGATGAATGACTAATAGACATCTAAAGTGACTGAATCACAAATTAATACCGCTCTCAGGAAATGGACAACTTGGAACAAACACCGGGTAACTACTTACCATAGCATGTGTTCAGGAAGTTCCTAGTGCAGAGTCTGAGCTGCCTGACATTCCTGGGTTTTAACAAATGTAAAGGTAACACTGACAGGACACAAGGCAGGGTGCAACACAGAAGGGATGACAACTCTTTCGAACTGAGTGGGAAGGAAATAAAGAACCACAGGTCTCTTCTCAGAAGGGTCTAACTAGCATTCTTTGTACCAACTGAGTGCTAACCAGAACCCGGAAAAAATTATGTGCTGGGGAGAAAGAAAAAGAGAAGATGGGAAAGGGAGAAGAGTTAGGTCTCTGTGATCCAGCACTTTGCATCCTTGCCTTTTCAGCTGTATGACTTAACAGGCATCTTGTAAGTACGGTCCAAAAATAGAATTGAGATAAAGCTTCGAGTCGAAAAGTGTGTGGTATGCATTGTGTGGAGCCCTGACATAGGCCTGGAGGTATTTAAGTCACAGACAGGCAAAAATGCACAGGCACAGATGAGAGACAGACATTTCAGGCTGCGCACCTTGCCACCAGTGTTACCTTCTCACTGGCTAGGTCTGTACACATCTTCCCTATGCTACTAATCACCCTAGCAAGAGAGCAAGAGACTCTTCATGTACATTTTGCTCCTTCTTGCCTTTAGTTAATACAGGCGTTCATAACAGAGCCCTTAAAATAGCTCACAACCAATGGCACTTAAAATCCTACCAAGGATAAAGATGGTCAAGTTTATATGCCAAGAGCAAGAGGCAAAACAGAAACACTGCTGCAGTTAAAGGAATTTCGGAAGAGTAGGAGAACCTGAAAAGTTGCAGGATAAAAGACAGCAACTAAAAGAAACGGAGTATTTTGCCAGCAAATAATAAGGGATGAATAAGGACAAGAAGGACTAACCCTGCCAGGAAATCTCACCACTGTCCCCAGAAGCACAGCTGCACGGAGTGATCCTGCAGTGCTAAGGGAATCCTTTGTCCACTTTAGTCTGTATTATTTTTCAAGCAGTAAGACAAATGAGAAACGCTGCTCGCCTTCCAGAAAAACTGTCCTCACAGGATGCTCCCCCGAATGAACTGCCCCTACAGCCAAGTCTGAACTGACTGGGCCAGTCACACAAAATCCGGGACAAAGGAGGAGGTCAAAACAAGGTCTGAAAGTTCCTAGCTGGCATCTGGCTCCTCCTCACTATCGTGTTACTTCAGCTGAGCTTCTGCTTTCAAACAACTGACCTGGAACTCATCTCTGCATTTTCTTCCCGGAAGTTTCCGAACAGATGTGTGCCTTCAGGGAGAGGGAAAAGAGAAGCATGCTTTGCTGAGGAAGCAGAGAGAGGACACGGTACAGAGAGAGCAAAGCAACAAACGTTTTGCTGAAGACGCTCTGCAGCCAGGGTCATTTTGTCCCCTGGAGGGCTCCTCAGCCATCTTCAATCAGCATGATTTTTGTTTCCAAGACATATAAACAAAATACACCAGCTCTTTCAACAAGGTAGTTGGTACTTTGCTTTACGTTTTACGTGCCAAAGTGTGCCAAGTGTCAGCTTCGGAAAAAGCAAGGTCTGTTAAGTTAGGATATGCAGCTTTCCCCTGCAAAATCCTATGGTCATCACCAAACAACATACACAGAAATACGATTATCTACACAGATGCTATCCTGTACTGAAGGACTAGAACACATCTGCAAAGCAGGGCTCCTGCAACCAGCCTTCTGCTATCATAGAATACTGTTTTAGGTAACCCACAGTAGAGAGCAATCACCTTAATCACGAACTTCACTCAAACCTTTAACTTAATTCTTCCATTAATTTTCTTGGTGTACGCCTTGACCCCCATGGCTGCCATTTCCTCAATAAAAGTGTTCTGAGAACATCACACAGACCCTATCGAGCACCACAGAGCGTTTCTGCAGAGACTGTAAAATTGTTGACAATCCTTATAAAAAGGGATACCTTCTGTGTTCCTCCCCAAACACCAGTCTATTACACCACAAACACCAAACTATTACAATCACAATTCTGTCAAGCCTTTTTCCCTTGCATACTCAAGACAGCTACTCTCACATAATTGAAGCAGCAAACTCCTTGCAGACTAGTTTCATCACCTCAGTGTGAATTGCAAAATAGAGAACCTTCTTAGTCTTCCTCTGCCCCAGAGTTGTTATTACTGTAGAGCACACACTCTCACTTCCTCTATGGGCATGGATCAAGGAACTGTGTCTGCCTACTCCTGCATCACTCGTAACAACGTGCTTAGCTAAACTAGACTTCAGCAATGACATCTAAAGCTGATTTAAAAAAAACCCCAAAAATAAAACACCAAAACTGGGAAGCTAACCAGTCTGCCAACTGCCTTTTTGCCCTTACACCATTTGCACCTAGCCAATCGTTGCAGCTTTTACTACGTACCAGTAAAGGGGTAAAATTATCACTCTAACTCTTGGTTTCCAGAGTCTCAAGACAAAGCATTTGTATACTAAAACAGGATCATTCACCAACGGATAACCTTGAACCTTCTGATGCACCAACTCAGTTTCAGTCACTGTGTACAGCACTAGTGGTTTTACAGAAGTCATATGATCAAGTTAGCTGAAATTTTATAACTCAATTCTATTCACCTAAGTGCCATGTGAAGTTTCATGTCTGTCTGTTTGCATGTCCCTGCACACAAATAGAAACTTGTCAGCTGATAAGCTGTCACTCTCCTCCAAGATTTGGATATCATCAAAACTTCTAGAAGTTTTGCAGCAGTGTGGCACTACAATTGCTTTTGTGTTATTTTCAGAGGTGGAAGAGAATCTTATTTAAAAAAAAAGACAGCCCATAAAACATGCCCAAAGATTAAAACAGAATTCCAAACACCACTTGTAGATGTCAACTGAAAAAAGACTGCTGAATTGGGAAAAAAAGAGGAGAGGGGTGTTGCTACAAAGCGACAGTTTAGAGGGTTTGTACTAAACCATCATGCAAGTCTTATTAAGACTAACCGTAAGCATACTGGTTGTATCAAGGTAGCTTGGTATTCAAACTAAACTTACCAGATGAAGCAACTGGTACATTATGATTTTACAAGATGCTTAAAGACACACTGGGAGCCAATCAAAGCTGGAGTTAATATCAAAAAGCTCAGCTCTGCACTCGCCTGACACTCTCACATACAAGACAAAAGTCTTGGTTCAGGTAAGAACGAAGTCTATCAGTCATTTGAGCCACATGCCAATGCACCTACACAACCATCTCAGCATAAACATTCCTACATGACAGGAGAAGTGCAGTGCAACTCCAAGAGCGGACACTCACATCTATTGCATCTCGTTCAAATATGCGGAGCTGCAGAAACAGCTCAAGCTTGATCTTGCGTTCTTGAAAAAGCTCCTCCATCTGAGATTGGGCCTCATCCAGCTGCTGCAGGACTGTCTCTATGTGGTTGATTGAGCTGTTATGCGGGGTCTTGTTACTAGAAATGGCAGAATCCCTATTCAAAGTAGAGAGAAGGGGAAGAGGGAGTGGAGGAGGAAAAAAAAGGGAGTGTTATTAAAAAAAAACCAAACAACATACAATTTGGATGCTATACATGACCACAAAATGTAAGACACTTTCAGATAAGGTCAGTGCAAGTCATATTACATGAAAGCTAAGTCTGTACATCTTTGTTAATAAAAGTCCAAATTATGTTTCACTACTTGAAAAAGCATTAGGAAATTAGATTACTTTCATTTTTGGCTAATTCAACACTTAAGGACATTCTGTTTACAGGAAGAATAAAATTGAAAACCAGAGACAAACCCTTATATTGTGAAAAGGAAGTGGAATATGATAACTATTTGCTTTACCGAACCTTCTCGGCAATGAAAAAAAAAATAAATCAAAATTAGATAATAATAAGAAAAATTACCTAATCTTTTAACCTTAGTATAATACCTGCAAATTCAAATCTGATAATATCAGCTGCTGCAGCAAAGGACACATGTACCTGGGCAGTTGGGGCCCAAATTTATTTAGACTGTTACTGAATGAAATGGATTGCAAACTGATGGTCTTTACTACAATAAAGTTACTTATCAGTCCGCAAACAATTTCAAGCGTCTCTTTATAGAAAGGCTGCTGCTCAGAACTCGAAACACTGTGGAGCCCTGCATGTCAGACTACAAAGAGACGCCATTGCTCCTATCACAAAGGTAGCTTATGTAAACACAATCTCCTACTTGTGGAGGTACTGTTTATAAGCTGAGCTTCCTGTAAACAGAGGGTTAGAGATCACCAGTACAGCACGAAACATCATTGTAGTCCTAATATTTACAAGTTTTATTTATAGGTTGTATCCCGTAGTCATCATCCCTACCCTCAGAACAGAAATAGCTTCACAGAGTATCACACATACACCAGAAGAGATTTAAATAAAAATTTGTTTTACCTTAGTTGCTGTATAAGATCTTCGCCTTCTTTTATGACGTTGACTGTAACCTGCAGAGTGGTCTGTTGTTGTTGACCAAAACGTTTAATCAGATCTTGGACAGCCTCCACAGACTCGGCATAGACATCATCAAGCAGTTCTTTCTGTAACTCTTCAAGCCATGTCCACAGCTAAAGGAGAGGGGTGGGGGGAAAGAAACGTAAGCCTCAGGATCAGGAAGTCACTATTTCAAACCAATCTCCCTGCTGGACAAGAGAAAACAGACTGAGGTTGCGGGGGAGAAACAGGATTTGTTTCTCTTCATAGAAGAATGTCATCCTCAATTTAATAAAAGCGAGCCTTTGTTTCAAATAAGGTTTTTGCTTCTTGGACATACCAGGAAAGCTTTATCCGTGTTGCTAAGTCACCCTTTCTTTCCCATTTTCCTTCTACAGTACTGAGTGTATCCGACTGAGCAGCACAGAGTTCATAGCGAGAATCCCATCTGCAGCTCTGCGAGAGAGTCCCTGGGAGGGAAATGCTATGGTAACACTCCCCGAGAGAAGGGAGGAAGAAAGGAAGGAAGGAAGGAAGGGAGATGTATTGTAGCCACCATCAAATTTACACTGCCAGGCTGACACATGCACACAGATAACATAACGCTTTTCAGTGGCCTTCAGAAAAAGGAAAAAGAAAAGCGCATTTCAGAAAACAAAATACAGAGAGAAATCAGATGTTACAAGCTGTTTCTCTATCACGATCTCTACAGCTATGGTGTTTACCCTCTCGATCTCAATTTCACTCTATCACAACAAAAATCATCGCAAGCGATTCCACCAGTTAATTCAACGTTTCCCCCCGCTACTCAATACGTGCACGTATTCCTATTCGTAACTGCCCACGCACCGCAGCTCATGGAAAAACCTCTTGGTACACACTAGCTAGGTATCGCTGCTGCTCACTTGGACCCTACCGTCTTCCTTTTCCACAATTTCATGAGGCGAGCTGTCGCATCCTAAACTCCGGGTGAAAATTACTCATCAACAAACCATCAGCCACCTATTGCGCAACCGATGAAAACACTGCTCCAAGAGAGGGAGCAGGGCTGGCTCCGGCCACGCTCCGGTGAGCGGCACTAACGGCGCAACGAAACGGCCGCTCTCCCAAACCCCGTTTCTCCGCTCTGTTCTACCATCACATCCCAAATGCTGCGATTCCACGAACAAGGATTAAAGTTTGGGTTTTATGCTGAAAGAATAACTCTGGTCTGATTGGAAGCATTAAGGTCTTTTGACTACATTTTAATCCCTGCCTTTATATGTTTTAGAGATACAAATAGGCTTTATTAACTTTGAATCTAATTTGAAAGGTTAACACAGTTAAAACACAGACAGTAAGCATCAAAACTGCTTAATTTCAAAAGACAGAAAAATGAATGTTTTCTTTATTCCTTTGCTTAACATTCTCTACACAAATACTCACTTCATGCTGCCGTTTGTATAATGTTCTGATCATAAAGGTTTCCTAACTACCAATAAAGCTACATTAAAATAGAAAATTCAATTAAAGATTCTAGATCTTGATTAATTAATTCCTTTAAAGCTTTATTTTAAAACCAAATACTAGTTTTTATATCTTAGAGCCTTACATGCCTCCTGAGGCAGGTTTTGAGTTAACCAGGCTATAAGCTAAATCTTCAGAAATTGTGAAGAATGAATGACATTTAACCAGACCCTTTTCTACAAATCCACTACTCCCTCTCCAAACGGAACTGCCTATTCATACACACTGTTATTCTGACTACTCATATGCTTCAGAGACAATGCCTGTCACAGATCTGAATGCAACTCCATAGCCGTAAACACCACAAGCTCAAGCCACAGCAGTCTTTCTTATTAAAGAGAGCACAAATCAATAGAACTTAGCAAGTGGGTCAAAAGCACTCGTCAACATTCATTGAAGCATAACCCAAAGCAGCATCCAAATGTGCTTTTTTTTTCCCAAATGCATACTTAGAATGCAAATTTCACTTCGAGACAAATGAAACTTAAGAGCAAGAAGCCCGATAATACAACCTGAAAACTTTACTCAGGTTTCAACGCCCAGCGGACATGGTTTTATTCCTCTATCAGTTTATGAAGCTTACGTCTGAACCATCATAATAGGACACCATATTAGAGACCTTCCAAGTGAGCTGGTGTGTACCCACAACCAGGCAGCTTGCAACTGTGCAAGTATATTCATTTGAGAGTAACAGTTTGTTGTTGGCTGCAGATGTCGTGTTTGGTGCTAGCTGGAAGAGCTCCACCTCACGCTTATTGCACTGTCTATAAAAGACCCAATTTTCAGAGATATTTATTACAGAGAAACTGGAATTAAAGCCATTTTGAGTCTATTGGATCATATCAATTTTGTCCCTTGGCTCCCCTACAAGCACCTGCACTGTGGCTCAAGGCAGGTCTAAGAACCACTTCAATTTTTCCAATATGTCTTTTGCAGCTGGGTTGTGTCACACCCGTACAAGGGACACCTCACCTCTACATTTCTTCATACATGCTCCAGCCACTTCTGTAATTAGGTGGAGAGGACCTGGCGGGAACAAGAAAACTTAAAAGTGCTGCACTGGTGATATATTGTATGTGGGAATATTCTTCCCTTAAAGCTCACCCTGGCTGCTGGAGACACAGAACGAGCAGACTTTTCCTTCTGCATGGCCAGTTCAAAGCAACACCACCTGCCTAGAGCAGAAAGTCATGGGCACTCGCACAGCAGCGCGTTGTGTCGCCTGGCGTAGTGCCTGGTCAGCATGGCATGACTGTAAGCATGGTACCTCACCCCATGGCACCAAAGGGCTCAAAAATACATCGTGTTTGCCCAGTTCATCAGCTGAATTGCCCACTGCTCGGGAAGGAAAAAGATTTTTATGAATGTGCAGAAAGAGAAGGAGAGTAATTAGTATGCATTACTTGCCTAGCAGTGATTCATACGCTGTTGAAAGTGGAACAATTTAAGCCATTTCTGAAGTGACTAAACAGCTCTGCGACACTTGCACAGCAAAAGTTACTCTAATACATTACCAAATAAGCTTTTTATACTTTTGCACCAAGTAAATTTCTGACAAACAGCCTCCCCTCAAAATAATCTTGCTGTTTATACACGAGAGTTAGAATAAAGTCACCACAGATGAACAAAACTGTCAGATTATTAAAGCTGGATAGAAGTTCACGCAATTTACTGAGAGAAGCTTAACTCGTAATGGGTGGCAATAGCCACGTGGCTTGTATACAGCTTTAAAGCCAGACTGAGCACTGGATATACTGGAAATTACCTTGTTTTCGGATACGAAACTAACGATGAAGACAGTACAAGGTTGCACAGCAAAGTCAAAAGAAAGCGGACAGTTTACAGCAGGGGGTGAACAGAAACCGGAGCTTACCCATACACGTTCAGCAGTGCAGAACTACAGATTTTACAGTGCAATGATTTTCTGAGGAAACGCGTTATTCCATAAAAGAGAGCGTGGCAACAAAAATCCAGTGGGGAAAAAAACCACAAACAAACTCGTCACTAACTATTAACTTTCTCTCGATGTGAACTTTTGAGCAACTTCCAGGCATGTTTTTTTCTATTCTCTGTAAAAGCAGCAGCATGAAGATCCCTGAACAAACCACTGAGTCCTGTGACCTCAGTAAGAACTTTATCCAACAGCAAGACAGCTCTAACGTACAGTGAGAAAACAGTATAAATAACTCGATCCAGTCACAGAAGGAGACTATTCTGCTCTTTTCATCTACTCTTCACATCTTATCAGAACTAAAATTGGAGAGGAAAATCAAATTCTGAATCCCTGACACGCAAATGTTTCACCCAGCTGATTTTTTTTTCTTGATCTAAATATAGCACAGGCTAAGAAACATCTGCTTGAATGAGCCTGCATCCTGTGCTACCTCTTTCCTAAGCTCTTGGGAGCATGTCATTAGTCACTGAGATGGTATTATTTTAATTGTCTGCAACATCCTGGAAGTTTCAGTGTTTCCATCATGGGCCTCTATCCATTCAAGCCTCATCCCTGCAATCTCCTGAAAGACTTCAGCTAAGTAAGACCTTAATGTAATTTGCTCAATATAATCACAGAATATTTCTTTTGTAATAAATACCTTCCCAAGTGCAGAGCATTATTTTATTAGAGTAAAATATCAATCACACTCTTCCACAATTTATTTTGTTTTTCAATTTTATAATAATGGCTTTTGGATATGCAGTCAGCTTTTTCAGCAGGCTAAGACAAAAGAAGGCACACAGTTTCTGCATGTAAAAAATGCCAATTCCTCTTTCTGCCCCTGCTCCCCAGCACAGTGTCGCAGTATGTGTATTACCACAGAGACAGTTGTTGAAGGTGCTATTATTTGTACAGAGCCAAATGTTGCAATAGTATTCCCTAACAAGTATATCTGGGCAGAAAAAGGGGCTGATGAGCATGTGTCTGCCTGTAAGCTTCGGCTTTCAGGACATAGAGTGGACAAACCCCACGTTTTTAAAACTGTAAGATGTTAAACCCCCCAGATTTTGTCCTCCAGAGTCTTTCAATGACATTTAAGATACTAAATGCATGCATATTTCTTGAAAATTAGATATAATTACCTTTAAAAGCATCAAATATCCCTATCTATTCTACAGTTATAATGATATCGATTTCCTGTTCAGAATAAAATTAATCCTTGAAGCAAAACCAAGTTTCTCAGATCTTCCTAAAATTACATCAGCTACTACCACCCTGTTAGCATTCGTTCCACTTCTTAACTGAACCATAGCCTTACGTAGTTTAAAGGCCTATTTCTGCCTCACTTCTCTCAAACAGCTAGTGCTATTTCAATAATGCCTAGATTTAAATTTGACCCTTTTTTTCCAGCAAAGTAGCTACGAGTATTGAAAAACTCAAAAGAGAAAATCTGTATTAGGATAACTGGATTTCGCTCCTACCAAACCAGTAAACCACAATAACTGCATGTTAGCACTGACTGTGTTTCTCTTATTTCAGATTTAAAAACTGTCCTCCTCAGCTCTCAGATTCAAGATGACCAGTATATCAAAGTACTGACCAGAGACTGCACTTCATATATTTTGCCAGACACATCACATTGAGCATTGCTGTGCTATAATGACACGATAAAAATATTACAAATGCACAAAAGCCCAATGGACAGAGCCTTCACACTTAGATGGGGGCATCCAAAAGCTGCTCTGCTGCCTGGAAAGGGCATGCAGAGGAGGGAGCAGCCTTATTTTGACATTCAAATTCGACCTGTAGACCACCAGCACAGAAGACTCAAATACCCAGGTGTCGTGGTTTTAGGCTGATCCAGCAAGTAACAGGCAACCAGAAGACCAGGTCTGTCACCTCAGGGTCCACCCTGGGATGAAACGAATGAAAGGCAGCGCGGATGGACACCCTTCCGTACCAAATAATTCAAAGGAGGGCGTATTCCTGGCAGTGAGTTGTGAGACAAAGTGAGACCATTATCAACACATTTTTTTGAATCAAATCCATATGCCTTACAGCCAGATGTGAACGGATCGGCAGCATTATGGCCAGAGCAAGGCCTTCTCAGCCTTCCTGTGCACTGGCATCCTCAAAACGATGCCACTTCCCTCAGCAGCTTGCACAGACTACTCTTTCATTACTTTTGTTCAGGATCAGCGAGCTTTTGTACTTGAAACCTTAGCCAATTCCACTTCCCTTTTCTTTGTTTCAACCTCAGTCTATTCTGGTACAATGTTTAGCTCGAGTAAGATGAAAAAAAAAAAAGAGACATCTTCTCGTAACACCATTAAGCATATTTTGTATACATAAAAAGCACTCTGAGCTATTTTATAAACAGCGTGTCAGAATACACACAAAAGGTTATATGCAAAAAGCCAACAGGCTCCTCAGAGATCATTCTCCTCCACGTACAGTCAGCCTGATCTGTATTCCCGTACTTGACTCCAGTTAGGAAAATAGCTGTTGCTCTACTTTGGCACTACTACAAACACCTGGCTTGGCCAGGATCTCAGTCTTCCCACTCATCCATGCTGAGGGAGCCATTTCGGAGAGAGCATGTGCATGTGTGTTTGTGTGTATGTGTACAGAAGAATTTGAATTCACACCAAAACCCTGTTCATCTCCACTTGGTGACAGATTTCACAGCAAAGACTATTGTGACTCTTGCTCCCATGTTTTGCACACAACATTTTATAACTCTTTATTTAGGAAACATATCTTTTATCTGTGTGACTTTTTTCTCACCTTGTCCCTCCCCATGTTATTAAATTTCAAGAGGCACAAAAGCCAGAAGGGATTCACTGTCTTGCAATGCTCAACAGTTTCAGATGTTCAGTTGCATTTTATCCATCCTCAGGCTGGGAACCCACCAGGACACAGCACTTTCAATGCAAAGATTCTGACAGGGATATTTATGGTCCCAAACACTTTTAAAGTTCACCAGTGCGCGGCTTAACTTCAGTGCATCACTTACTGAAAAATTTGGCTTACAGATTGAAATTTCCCACTGTTTGCATGGGAACTTAAAATCAATATTCACAACCTTACAAACTTAAAACTAGTAGTAGTAGTATCACAGCATGGAATTACAATTTATATATAGTAAGCAACTGATTTTCTTGGATCACCATTAAGTAAAATGAGTAATGGTGATACCATTACATATCACTGTATTTCTGGCTCCTCTGAACATATCCTTTTTGCCCCCCATGAGAAATGTGGTCTATTGAGGTTAGTCTACGAGGAGTCTGAGAACTTATATGTTGTCTTCTGATGTTTGTAAGCCACAGAGAGCTCTACCAGCTTGGAACCACCTGGCTACAGAACTTGTGGAAATGTTTAAGACAGCCAGTATTTTCAACGCGCATCGTAACAGGCTGCTGCACACACACTACACAGCTGCTTTGCGCATAGGTATAGCAGAAGTCTGTTACTTCCAGCATAAGCCAAGCCAATCTATTGCTTTTGTAGCAAGCACACTGCTTCTGAAAGCAGAAACTGCTGATTTACTACGCATGAACAGAGTAACAGTACCATGTAGACACTGCAGGGCTGACACTTCCCAGGGAAGCTCGGACAAGTAGCAGGCAAATCCTGTCTCAAGTATAAAGGTTATGTAAAGCTACAGGGGAGAAGTAATATGGGAATGCTCTCATCCAGATGAGGAGCATTCAATCAACGTGAAGTATTTCTGGGGAAAAGAATAAAGCACAACAAAACATGCTACTTCAAAAAAAAAAAAAAAAAATCAAGGGATTGGATGGATATATGAACCAGATTTCGAAGCCTCAAAACAGCCAACAACTCAGATTATCAGCTTTTCTCAGCTCTGTGGCTCCCTCCAAACCGTCACCCACAAACAGAGTTTTTATTCTTCATGTCTATTTTTTAGATCAGGAAAACACAAAAAAGATACAAGAAACAAAATTCATCCTGAATACTTGAAGGACAAAACATGTTGGTGGTATTTTGTTTTGATTTGTTTGTGTTGTTTTTGGTGTTGTTTTTTTTTTTTTTTAACAACCGAAGCACCTCTTTCCACTTCAACAACTAGCATATTATCCTACTACTCGAACTTCTCTCTTCACTAGCTAGGTGTGCACATTAATTTCTTCGCTCTACCATACAATGGAAAGGTTACATGCTTACAGGTATGCACTAATTTATTCAGTGACTTCCTACATCCTGCAGGAGAAATGCCTTTTTCCTGCCAACAATGCATGGATGACTTTCAGGTTTAGGGCATTTTTATCTTCCATCTGCTTTGTGATGCCTTCTCAGCACTCCACGTTCATGTTTGATAACAAACAAGATGCTCTTGAAAACAGATCAGAATAGAGAGAGCACAAGACAGCTTTCAGCTTGCTATTTCTTCACACTTTAACCAAAGGACTAGTCTACTAAAGACGAATCACCTGCCTCACTCTCTCATCTGTATTTTTAAGTAGAATGCAAATAAACAAAAAGATTGTCTTGCTTACATAAATAAGTACTCAATTTTACTTGCTTTATTAGGTATAAAGGTCAGCCATATGACAAAACCAAAAAAATCAACATGTGTCTATCATTCACAGTACCTTTCCCCCAAAGTCCAGGCTGCAAAGAGGCTGCCACAGTAACAGCTGTGTGCACTTACAGGGTCACAATAACATCCATTTTCCCAATGAAATAAATCAAAATACAGAATATCTCTTTTTTCAATAAAACATTATTATCTAGGGGAGCAGTGGCAACATTCCAGCACATCTGGATCAGCCTCCCAGAACTACTAAACAGTGACTCACAGATCAGTCTGCCTTTCTTATTTTTTTTTAAGACTTTTCCTTGAAAATCCTTTTACAGTCTCTGTCTTTCATCACTACAACCTACTGTATCTGTTTAAATATCATTCCAGCTGCTCTTCTTGATGCTAAGAAAAAGTAATGAAGAAATCTGTAGAAACAAAGAACATGTTTCAGCAGCTTCACAACAGGTAATGGAACTGCACTATGCATTTTAGAAAAGTGAAACAAAAAAGTTTCCCCCTAAGAATAGCTTACGATACAGCATTTATGTTTTCTTTAAACAAGCCGAGTCCTGGGAGAGTATTGGCAAGGAAGCATCTAACAGAAAACTGATGGGGGAGCTATGTACTCATGTCTAGAGCTAAAACGTAATTCAATCCTGACTTCCTTCAAAGACCAACTGCCTTGTACATTTGTTTCAAGTGCAAAGCAAATGTTTCACATACAGAAAACTCTCACCCTTGTCCTCTACAAGGTTTTGAAGAAGAAGCTGCTTTGATTACTATACTTGCCCACTGAACAGATCATTTCTCGCTGTAAGGTGAAGGGAAGGAAGACACACTCTGACATGCTGTGATCCAGAAGCCTTTTGTATTTTCATCTAGGCTGAGCAGTAGGAAGATCTAGCTCTGAACAGAAAACAAGTAATCTACAGTTGTAGAAAGCTGCCACTTTAACCAAATCTACCTTTAACCAAAACCCCTTACTAAGGTCCTTATTCTTGGCTCTAGCTTATTCCACTCTCTCCCATGAGCTTATAAATTCATATGATCTGCGTTCTGAATCGGAGCAGAAAACTGATCTGGCTAAAAATTAAGTGTGTTGGGCTGAATGTTCTTTTTCTTAGAGTATCAGTTCAACCTTTGAAGGAGACTAAAAATTGCAAACATGAGGCAAACCATCACCATTTTCAGATAAGCTCTTTAGGTTGTGAAGAGCCGTCAATATACAAGATCAAAATGCAACGTGTAAAACAGAGAAAGAAAACTAAGCGTCTCTGGGCAGTGGGGTTGCCTTAAGTACTGTTGTGCTTCTGCCACGTGCTTCAGCCTCTGAACCCTGTCAGTCTAACCATGTGTCTGACAGCTCAGCTAACTGCACTGGAGAGCTGGTTGGATTAAAAAAAAAAAAAAAGCCCACTATTCCCCGCCCCCCCCCCCCAATGCTGTCTTTTAGCTGTATCAGTTCCCTGATCTGACCCTCCCACCTTCCCCGTGACTGCAGGAGCATGTGTGCTTGCACAACAAAGGAGGTAGAAGCTGCATGTGAAAACAAATAAATAAATGAATAAATAAGTAAAATCCATAAACAAAACAACCGCCCGACTCCAGGGCCCAATCTGCAGTGAATCACAAAATTCATTGTACAATAGGGGTTTCATGACTTCCCACGGCAAGGTTTTAACAATGAAAGTAACATTGGACAATATCGGTTCTAAGGCTTAAAGTTTTGACCACGACTTAGCAGCAGTTTTACCTCTTTAACGTGAGTGTGAAAAGACACAGACATGTCCAGCAGGATCTTGCGCTGCTCCACACGCCTAACAAAATCCTGTATCCGGTCTTCGAGCTGATGGGCAGCTTGATAAATTTCCTCCGGGTCACACTCCCCAGTCTGAGCGAGCTGTTCGGCTGCCTCTAGGAGCTTATCTGCATTCGTGTACGTGTTCTGTTGAGAAATAAGTTAATTTCACAGGATTAAATGAAAGAAAATTCAGTCAGCATATCTTAAAACCACTCCACTAATGAAAATAAAGGACAAAAAGGCCTTTGGAATGTATTTTTCTTCTTTTTTTGAAGGTAGTAGAATACAATCTTACTAAAGATTTTGTTATATTTCTAGATACTTATTCATTTAACTGTGAATAAATTAATTCCTTAGCTCCTTATTTACGTCTATTCAAATGTCTCCTCGATCCAGAACTCAGAAGCCTATTTATTCTTCCTTGGAATTAGTATTTTAAATTCACAACTATAATAAAGATCAGCCTAAACATCTAATTACTTGCAAATTGGCCTACTTCAACACTGGTAAAATCACTACAGTCATGGCCAGAAGACTTTTCAAATGTGTATTATTAGAGGTGAGAAAGCCTCAGCTGCTGGCAGAGAGGCTTAACATCAAATCCACACATCCAGTAGGAACATGGAAAGTAACCAGGCACAGAAGAAAATTTCTCTCCATCCTTACAGAAGTGAGATATTCAAAATTCACGTGTTAAGTGGATCATTATTTGTGAAACACCAGTAACAGAGGAAGATTTTATAAGTCAGCTATGGCTGAGTGTCAGAGCGGAATATTGTCTCAATATGTCACAGGATTAACAAATGCAGATCAGTCCTGTAAGAGACTTGGGTTAAAGCACAAAACAGAACGGGAGAAGCCTGGTACCCGGCATGCTGAGTGTGCTATGGTCCAGAGAAGAGAGAGATGTTTAATAACTCTTAGAACTTGTAGCCTGCATCTATATCTTTCTCATTAATTCAAAACAGGACTAATTCCAATCATCTGCTGTCATTTGGATGCTCTTTTTGGCCTGACCTTGGGTTTTTCTCAGTCCTTAGACTGGTTCTCAAAATGGACTCGTCAAGAAAGCATAGAAGGATGTTAACCTCTCAAGAAAACAGACTGAAGCCACGTCTACACTAAAGAAGCTTTGCTTACATCACCACATCAGGTCTCCTGATAAGTTTGCACCACAGAGTATAAAAAAAAAAAAATTCTTGACAGACTACACCTTTCTCTTTTCCCTTCTGTCCTTCCATCTTCTCCCAACCTCAATTACATCAGGTAAAAAGACTGCTTGCCAAGATAAATTAAGCCTATCCAAAGATACTTTTCTTTGCTTATGGCAAAGAATATAGTATCACACCTCTAATTCATATTATAATATCCGCAAGAGTTAAATCTAAGCCTGGCCCTAAAACTCAACTAAAGGGCAGGAAAAGAGTTGTCCTCCAGGGTGTCAAGCAAGTTACTAGGGCAGCCCAGGACAGATTGCGTGACTCAGAGCAGCTTTCCTATTTTTGGGGGGAGTTCCACCTTCATTTCTTATCATCTATTTATGTAAGGAATTCAATCCACCCTGCTCCTTGATTATGACTAAGTACATCTTAGCTCTTCCTTAACCTTTACCTTTTAATTGCATGGAGAGGCAGAGAACTCCCAGTTTCCCTGGGAAAGCCTGCAGAGACTAACACAAGTCTGCCCTTTTCAGCGGGGAGCGCACTACTCAACGCTCCAGATCCCTGGCTTGGGCCACACTGGCCCGGAACACGCTCTGATCTGTGCTTTGGTGTTTGGACTTCCACAGTGGCAGCTCGTAGGTCTTCAAGGGGCAGGGCTGAAGAGCCTCAAGGCGCTCCTCCAACAACAACTACTTCATCAACCCAGAGAGCCACACCCAGCTGCAGATGGCTGAAACAGAAGTTTCCCATTTTAATGAAAACTTTATCTCACATGTGAAGCATTGTTTACGAATTCCAGGAGTATCTTCCGCATAACACAGGCCCGGGCACATCAGACTTCTCTTTCTGTAGACTGAATGGTGAACTGCCTGTACTCAGAAACGATCACAACCAAAATGCTGCTTTCAAAAGGGGTTGCAACTCAAACCTTAACAGCAGACACATGCCTTATTGCTAAAATTTCTCTTCCAAGTAGAGCTGAAATATAATATAAATATTTATCCTGGGAGATAACAACTGCCCTTTGGAATGGAAATCACAGCAAATAGGTGTGCTGTACTAACTGCTCCTTTCCCAACTCTGCTTACTTCTAAGCAATGCTTGGAGAAAAAAAAGCAGTAATGTGAAGATTTGGAAAATGCTGGTCACAGAGGGAGCCACCAGTTCGAAAACAGAAGGTTAGGCAGAAAGAGTAGTCTTCCCTTGCAGCTGCTTATGCCAGCTTCCTAAATTGACAAAGGAGCCTTCATGGTGACAAATTCAACACAGAGTTTTGAAATGGATTAATGCTTTCTCAGAATTTCTCCACTAGCACACCTTCCCCAAATACCAAGAGAGAAGAATCAGCCTGGTAAGAGCTTTAAGAAATCCTCTAGTCCACCCCTCTGTGCCCCAAGGTGGAATCAACTATACTCCAGTCTTTAAGAGGCATTCTTCTCCAAAGTGCTGAAAGACTCTCCATAATAGAGAATTCACCACCTTCCTCAGCAACATATCCCATCGTTTTCTTAGTCTTCTTTTGAGAAACCTTCTCTACATATTCTTCAGAACAAACACGTGTATTTAGCAAGCATATGAAGTGACATATCACAGAAAAGTAAAATATTAAACTTAAGAGACCAGTGCAGAAATGAGTACTACCGACAATAAATAAATACAGCAACAGGAGTGAGTGGAGGTATGGACTGAATTTCATACAAACTGGAGTATATTGCACTATTGAGGGGGAAGAGAGACACACACATGGATGGAGGGAGATTACCAGAGGTACACAAATCATTAAAGGTAGAGAAAATTAAGATAGATTACTCATTAAATACAGTAGACGCTATCATGTTTAAGCATCAGACAACACACTTAAAATGAATACGCAAAAGTACTTTTCATCTAAGGAGCAATTAAATTGCATAACTCATTGCCACAGGATCTGGCATACATTCCAACAGCACAAACGGGTTCAAAAAGTAGCTAGCCTAATTAACGGAAGAAAAGCCCATCAGTGACTATTAAACACTGGTTTTGATGCATCCTTCAGTTCCAGACATCAAACAGGCCCAGACAATGGGGAGGGTAAAGGTAACTTTTTGAGCACACAGTCCCTTTTCTTTGTGCATCTGGTGGTGGCAACAAGATACTGTGAGACGTGGACCTTTAGTTTGATGTATTACAGCCAGTCATGGGTAAAGTTAAGAACAAGTTCAAATACATAACCTTTTTTTACAACCTTAAAGAAGGTGGGAACTGGTGGTGGTAGGGAAATGAAAGGTGTATTCAAACAAAGTTTGGAAGAATCTTTCTTGTGCATCTCTTGCACCAAGACGACTTGAGTTCTTTACTTAGATGCTGTCTACACATGGAGAAAAGAACTTACCTGTGGAAAAAAAATCCCACTAATTAATTCTTGCCATACATCTTTCATGCTTTTCAAGCACAGACTACTGTCAAAAAGCAGACAGTTGAAATAGGAGAAACTGACTTGGAATTTCATGAAAAAACACATGGGGAAGTACAACCACACTAATGATCTGCATCCAGTGCTTCTAAGCTGAAAATCCGTGCCCACAAGTGAATCAATGATGTCAAAATTTAGAGCGTTGACACTTCGACTAAAGGGTCTTATGGATACAAGGATGACCATGGGGAGAGGGGGAAAAAGGAAAGAGAAAAAAAAGAGTAAGCAGAAAATAAACAAGACAGGCTTCAGGGGGTTGGAACTAGATGATCTTTAAGGTCCCTTCCAACCCAAACCATTCTGTGATTCTATGATTCATAGGAAAAGAGCAACACAATTTTATAATAGTAGGTTTCATTCAAAGTACATATGTGTAGCACGAATGTCAACACATTAGAATTTAGGGAGGACTATTAGTCAGCTGAGTTTTGACTACCTAGTCTGTAGTGGTAACAAAAAGTGCCAAATAAAGAGAAACAAGCCTCCATTTAACATGAATTTTGAAGGGAATAATTTGTGAGCCCACAGCCCATTGACTTTGGAACATCTTTTCCATTTGACACACCACTTATATTAACATCTCTTTGAATACTGCTGGGGAACTGGCACCTCATTCACAGTAAAAAAGAATGAGAGAGGAAGCAAAAAGGAAGAAAAAAGAAATCATAATTTTCACTCCCCTCAAAATCAGGAGTTAGCCTTCAATCAGGGACATTTCAACATTACTGTTGGGTCCCTGCATTTGATAAAACACTGCCATGCCACTGACAGTTCACTTGAGATTGCTCCCTCTCAACTTCTGACTAAAGCTGACTGAAAACCCCTAATTATGCCTAGGGTCCTATAAAAAAAAAAAGCCACAACAGAAAACAGCAAAACAAAACACAACAAAAAAATAACAAAACCCGAAACACAACAGAGACCAGGACCAACTAGAAAAGTAAGTAGAGAATAAATTAGCTGAAAGTTATTCATGCTTTAACAAGGACTGCAGATTGCTGTCTTATACTTGAACACAATCTTCCTTATAACACCACCAGCAGGAACGCCTTTTGGGGCCTGCTTACAGTTTTAGAGCAAGTAAGAGGAACAACTCGGAGGGTGTGCCTCTCTTGGCAGTCACTACACATTCAAGAGTAGGAGATGAAACAAAAAATACTTATTAGATCATTTTGTCCATCCTTCTGTCAGTGGAAGATAGTCCCCTGTAGTATATTTAAGTTCTTTGACCAGCCTAAGTGTTCCGTATCGCCAAAAATAAAAATTCCACCCATCCCCTAAAGAGATCATTTTAAACTCTCATAACATTCAGTTGTAGGAAGCTTTTGCTAAGTATTTGCTTTACAACTTTCTAAAGTATAATGCAAATTAACAAGATGCTATTTTAACAGCTTACATCCCACTAACAGTTCTACACATTTCATCCCCTTTGGTTACTCAAATATTTTTTTCTTCTTTGCTCAAATAACACAGTATTAAGTATGAGATCATTCAGGTTTTGTTAAGTGTCTTACAGGAATAGATTCTTGCTTGTCTGACCCAGAAAAATAAGTATTTCCACATGGAAAATACTACAGATTTTACTCAAAATGAAGTATTAGGCATGCATATGGAAAATCCAGCATTTGTGTATTCAAAACTAAAACCACTTATTATTTTGGAAAATTTCATAGGAAATCAATATTGAGGAAGCTTTCTGATGCTATTTCAAGTCCTCAGTCACTGCAGTGCTCCAAGACCACATATACAATGAGATTTTTATTAAAAGCTTAATCACTGATTAAACAGGCAATCTGTAAACACACTTCTGATGCATCTGCCATAGTAGGTGTCACTGCTAACCTCCTGCACGTCACTTCAGAATTTTCTAATAACGCATTTTCTGTTTTGACTGAAGGACCACTGTATCAACCCTACCTTAATGAGATTTTTCTTAACTGAATCTTAGAGATGTTTACTCTTACCAATCATTAATGCTGAACGGATAGTTTATGTTACTAATGGGAAGGATTCTAGCCTTCAGCTTCTCATGGGTTTTATTCACCTCACATCCCCTTTTCGAGGCTGCCACCCAAACCAACTTCCTCTTCTTATGCTCCCTGCATTCCTTAGTATCTCTTTCTTTCAGCTTGACTCTTTTTCACACGAAAGTGCGTTTTGAAGCTCTATCATCAGTTCTAGGTTAAAACTAGTCTTCCTATCGAAAAAGTGTTCGTATCAGTGATTCAGAACAGGAAGGCATGTACAAACTCAATTATATTCAAAGAAAAAAATCCATAGCCAGGTTGGCCAGTTTGCTGGCTCACCTGGTTTCTCAGGAGTCCCTCCCTTGCCCCACATCAGACTGTTGTGGGGATTTGGGAGTTCCCCAAGCTTAAAGTCAGGAAGCAGGGCTTGCAATTCATCTCCACCCTCTCTTACAGGCTGCACAAAAGTTTAAATCCTAGAATCCCATGGAATTAAGTTACTTTAAAAGGAAAGCTTTCATTCTTCTGTGACTCAACATTTGAAGGCGTACTTTTGAAAATAATAATAATTAATAATAATAATAGCAGCAGCAGCTCTGTTGGGCTTCGAGACTCCCACTCTCTGTAGGACTGTGAAAGTTTCTCTCTTTCTTACTAAGGCTGTAGTGCAAAGGAGAAATGAAAGCTTGCAACAGAAACAAAGTAGTCCATTCTTGGAACTGAATTTTTGTAGTGGAGCTCCCTCTGCCCAGCCCTTCAGTGCCAGAGCAGGAATCATTCATGTATTTCCGTGACAAAAGTACAGTCCTTCATGTGATTGTTCTTACCTGCGCAACCTCTTCAAAGTCTTCATGGCGTTTCTGCAAAGCTCTAGCCCGATGTAGGGATTTTCCCACTCCAGTATGTTTGCTAAGAAAAGCTTCTCCATGGTTTTCAATCCAATCCAACACCTATGGTACAGAAGGGAGACACACAAAAACTGAGTGGATGTACTGAATGCAACAAAAAGATAACTATTCAAGAAACCAAGAAGCTGTAAAGGGACTGCTAATAAGGAACTGTATTGTTGGATTAAAAAACAGTATTGTCATTGAAGGACATTAATTACATCTCATTAACTTTTCTCAAGGCAATAACTAGCTCAAACTACCTAAATCATATAATTTAAGATTGTATGTTTATTTTGAAGCCTACCAAGGACAACCTCATTTCTACACATTCATCAATTTGACAGTAATCTGATCCAAGTGGCTGGATTCCTTGTGAGGGTCCCTCTGTAATCCATTTATGCCTACACCTGACACTTTTCTGTAACGTAACACTAATGGAGTTTGCACATTCCCCAACAGTGCTGGTGAATAACACAGTGAAGTTTTATTTTAGATGAGAAGTCACTTCTCTTACTACATATTAAGTCAAGAAGAAAGATTCAGTAGTAGAATTTTTAACCAACGCAATAAAATTGAGTTGATATCATTACAAGATGAACGACAACATCTGCATTCAGAGCACATAAAGGATTTCGCGTCGATTCCGAAGAAGCATCTCCTCAAAACATCAGATAGACGTAATTGTGTATTGTAAATTTTATAGCTGAAAAAGTGAGGAACGAAAGACGTTTTAAGGACATTAAAGCTTCTGCCACAATGACTGGGCTGACAGCTTTATAAATAGTAAAACCTGTACATGTAATTAGTTTCTGCCAGTTAACACAAAGGATTACTGCACACATACTAAGTTTCTGATGAGTCAACGAACAGAAACATCTGGTCTCTCTCCAAACTAATATATCTTAGCCATATCTTAATGCATTCATTAGCTAGCATGCATACGGTATTTAACTCTTTGGAATATACTCAGAGGTTCAAGAATGCTGTTCAGAATTAAAGACAACTGCATATAAGCAATTTTCTTAAGTCAGCCAACTATTTTTATACAGTACTTATGTAGTGTTGTGGAATACTTTACCTAACATTTATCTCCAGTGTTCTTTTTTCTTTAAAACCTGAGTATTTTGTTTTGTTTTGAATATACCTGCCAGAAACCTGTACCTTACCTCTCCTTATCTACTAGTGTCCTTTACTCTGATTCCTAATGTTGGGTGAGGTTTTCTTCCCCTTTTCCTGTACTGAAAGCATGACACTTAGCATAATTAAAGAGAAAGATTTTTTTTCTTTTTGTTTGTTTGTTTTGATTTTTTGTTGTTGTTTGTTTCTTCCAAACAGACTTGAGAACCATTCCTGCAACACCACTCATGGCTACATTCAATACACACGTAATCCCACACACTATTCCCATACAAAACATCCATGCTTCCTTTAGTAGAAAAAAATGAAACCATCTGGTGCGAATTTCTCATTAATATTGACTGTTAGAATGTTTTTTGGTTTGCAAACTCTCTCTTATTGGACATCTTCAAAACAACAATCAATCCTATAACACCACATAATACAGCCATCTCAAATCACCAACACTTCACTAAATCTCTGTGGCATGCACTTCAACTTATGCAGTGTTTGTTTTTCCTAGCAAGCATTGCCAAAAGAATATTATTGTGATTTAAGTCAAGGTACATTTTCATTTGCTTCTTTCAAGGGAAAGTATTGATCAGAGAAGGTAGGGTGAGCCAAACATGGCCTCAGTTATCTGTAAAATTTATATTACCACTGCTTTTGACTAGTTTCTAGACTACTCTGCTCTTCTCGTTATAAAAAGAGCTAAAAAGAGACATATTTGGACAAGAGAATTAGACTGGACTCTGGAGACTACTAACAGTTACAAGCTAACAAATGAATTCAACAGCAAAATCTCTCCCAGAAGGCATGGGACGGAAAGCAGAACACAGCCCAGGGAGAATGAGTTTTGCTTCAAATAATGCTCAGTAACTTCTCAAGAGAAGAAATTGTCATAGAAATCCAGTACACAGATCATGACACAAACCAGTCAACTAGAGAAACATTGCTGCCTCTAAGGGAAATCAGGATGAATATAAGTCTTGTTAGCGCTCAGCCTTCCTAACTTGAATCTTAACAAAACTGAGGAAGCACTCTTTATTTGGGAATTACAGAGCATGTGAAAGCAGAGTCAAAGTTAAAGTACACTCTTGCCCATCAGAGTTTTTGCATTCCGCTTTGACCAAAGGACAATGTCATTAGCTGGCACTGACACCAGCCATTTAGCAGTCTTAATTGATGCATTTTCTTCCTCTTCCTGGGAGAGCTAGGAGTTACAGAAACCATCATACCAACTCACTTCTAAAACTGAAAGCACATGCAATTCACTCTGGTAGTTCTGTAATACATAGGAGTCTAAGAGGCTCAATACTATCCTCTACCTACAGCAACTTGCTTTAATGATGAATTAAGCTATAACTGCAGTGTCAGCAGAATCTCCTCATGCCCAATAGAGGATCTAGAAAAATACTTATTTTTCCAGCACCAATATTGACTACATGATAGAAGATACTATTAGGGAAAATAACTTCATCTCGACAAATTCATTGCTCGTGGCTGTAAAATACGTGCTTTGCATACGCTGCTTGCAGAAACAAACAACCTGATCTTTTGCAGATTCAATGTGCTCACTTTCACTAGTCTTTCCTACATTATTATCCAGTCCTTACCCCCCCCCCCCCTTTCCATACACTTTGCACACACTCACTTTTCTGATCTCCATCACTTACTTGTGCTGACATAACATTCAGAAGGGGAAGATGGAAATCTCTGCATTTCTAATCTTCAGATAGATAAAATGTGGAAATACTCTCTCCCCAAAAGAACCATATTACACTGGAACTGCCTCTGAAAGCCACAAGGGAATCACCCAGTGAAATCAGTAATATTTTGATGCTAAGCAAGTAGCAAGCATTCTTGGCCCGCCCTTCATTAGTCAAGGCTGAGGCAAGTGACCATTACAACAAAAACTTGGACAGAGTTTTTGAGGCAGGCAGATCAAGGAAGGAAAAGTAGCACATTTATCCAGAACGGACAGAGAAGACATCCAAGGTCAGTAACACCTGAAAAAATGTATGTTATGGAAAAAAACTACAAGTATGTTTCACTAATCTGTCTTGCAAGTCATCAGGAGTGTTTTTCAGGCCCCAAAACTTCCATTGTACAAGCATCAGCAGCATCACTCTACCAGAAACATTATCGTTACATTTAGTTTTGACCTTTCATGGCCTAGCAGCACAAAACTCAACGTTGCTATTGCAAGTCTGCTTTACTGCTTCATATCAGACTCGTCAGAGCCACCTCCATTCCTTAGGTGAAAGGCTGGTGTATATTATCCACTTGGTAAGCTTGTTAATCCTTATACATAAAATTGTACTGTTATTAGCATGTTTTACATTAGAAGGGCCATTTTCAACAATTAAATGCAACAGCCAATGAGATTATTTTTTTTTTTTTTAATCAAAATAACCACCCTCTTTTTCAGTGTTAATGTACAATCCAGGAACTAGACCTCCTGGCTTGACTCTGCTACCTAAGGTCAAATTCAGAATTCCGTTCAGTTTAAGATTGTCGTAGGTTTTCACATGTTAAATTTCAGATTTGGTGCAATTCACATCTTACCTATTATTTTTGATATTTCATGTGCTACTTTCCTTACTACTTGCTCCAAGAAATTAGCAGGTGATTCTTGGTGTACACAGCTAGCACCATAGTGTTTCTGTTGATTCGGAAAGCTCCACTAGAAACACTTTCCCAATACTGAACATACAAGGGAAGCAAAAAAAATCAACCAGTTTTCTAAGGGGGAAGTAACACAAAATGAAGTACCAGCTCAACACAGCCAACCTCCTCCTTGAACTCAGCTCTGTCACTCACTTAACACTTCCATGAACTGATTTACTTCATTAATCCAACAGAAAACTACGCCAGCAGAGGGAAGAGGAGGAAATGACAGACTCATGCTGAAGGATAGTTATAGATTCACTTACAATGCACTTGGTTGCTTGCCACTTTGTGCGATTTAACTATAAACAATGGAAGAGAGCTGCACTTAGTTTATTTTGACACCAAAAAAGGAAACATTTAACTTTACTGACAATAATTTTAAAAGGTTTTCGTGCTAGTTTCTAAATCATGCTAGATCATCTTAATTGAATTTTTTTTTCAAGGTTTGAACAAAGTCTAAGAAGCCTGAGAGAATGTGCAAATGAAAACTAAGGTATTTAGGAAAGTTGCTTTGGAGCTCTACATAAACCATTCCAGAATTTTCTTGGATATAGATTTAACCAATGCCTCAAAACTGAGTGATTTCATGCACTGAATGGTGTCAATGATTATTCAATTGAAGAGCTAACAGTTCTCAGATAAATTAGATAATCTGATAAGGTTGTTTTGGGTTTGTTTTGCAAGAAAAAATAATCTTTACTATTCAAGATCACTTTTTTCCCCCCCGACAGATTTTCAAAGCTGAGGGAGCTACACTCTGTCAAAGCAGGGCTATTCCAGGGAAATACCATTGTGTGTTTGCCATTATCTTGAAGTCATCTGCTCCCAGCTATTAGATTAATTTGTCTGGTATTGATGTTGAATCATCATTGTCTTTCTGCACAATCTGCATTAAAATGCAAGTATGAAAAGTTGTATTATGAAACGGCACATTAACCACTATTCGCACTGTGATTCACAAGGCAGTGCCCAAAATACACCAATATCTGAAAGTTAAGTTCAAGTAAGATAACAAAGAGCTCTACTTCCACATGCAACATTTCAGAAGCCTCCAACGTGGATGTTAGTGGCCATTACAAGGATAAACCAAAGGACAATCCAGTCTCTGGCAGTGATAACTACTGGGCATTAAGAGAAGGGCTTAGGAACATGGCAAGCAGGAGCTGCATCTCTCTACATAAGATCTAGTTTGAAAATCTGAAGTGGTTGATAAAGATGCGCATTAGCACCAAAGGGGCCATAGCTTCAAATTGTGAAAGAGGCTTCTCCAACCAGTAGGTACGGCATGTACATAATAATGGGCCTAAGTGGATTAACCCTCTTGAGCCAATTAGTTCATTCTGAAAACTTCTGGTATATTCACAATCTACATGCATGATTTGGATAACAGCTTCTCAACACTGGAAGCTATAAAAAGAGATAAAGATGCCTACTTCATTGTTTTCAAATCTGTGACTATTTGACATTAAATGCACCAGTTCCAAGGGCTGACAGGTCTCATACAGAGAATGAAAATCCAGCTTCTTGCTGAAGAACCTGATGTGACGGTGACTCTACAATGACTTGAGTGTAATGAAGGTTATTTGTCAACTTCAAAGAACAAAGTCTCAGAGTTAACTCCTCCACTCCAAGAGCTGTGACTTAGGAAGGAGCAGAAAACGAGAATTTCCTACAAACATTTTATGACTCCCAAGATAATAAAGGCAAAGAGTAGGAACAGCACAGACTATCAGCAGCATTTAATGAACACGTTCCCCCAGGAAATAAACTGCCTGCAGCCTGGCCTACAGGCCTGAAACTGGAATTAGGTATCTGGCAAATAAACTCAGGAGATCACTCGGCCTAGGTTGCCTGAGTAGGTCCTACTTGAATTGAATTCAAACTGGAGGAGATGGTTCCAGGATCCAATCCACACTTGTTGGCACTAAGATACCACTGAGAGGACCTACATTTTCCCTATGAGAAGCAAACCACACTTAATTTCAGTTTCTGAAGATTCCTTATGAAGCCTTTTAAGTTTAAGAGGCTATTCATTTGTGGACTGTCTCTCATCGGTTTTGACAAGTGCCGTTCACTGACTACTCATGCAAGTACCAGCACTAGACCCTCCTGACTACCTACAATTATGTAGTAAACTTAATGAAGAATCTCTAGTATTTATACAACGGCATTATAGTGTTTTCAGTTTGGTTCTCTATGGCCTTCCTGACTGTTCATAACATTGACTCTGCTTTCTTTTATTTTTTCTGTCAGCTAACATCTTTCATGTCTTTCTGCATCCCTTGTCACATCCGGTTGTTGAGAAGTTGGATAACTGCCTGCCTTTCAACGTATGTCTTTCTTTACATCAAAAATTAAGTGAAAATGTTTTAATAATTTTACACTTAATTTACTGCTTATTTTTAAAGTTGTTTTCTTTAACTTACAGGAAGAGATAGGTACTGTGAATAGAAGAAAGCTGAGCTGACAAGATTGCTCACTCTCCCCACCATCTGCCTGAACCAAGTACCTTTTTCAACTACTGTAAATGACAGAAAACAGTTTATTTCACTCCCAACTGCTCACATCCAGCATCTTCTTGAAGCAGGTAAATACAAGAAATTCGGCTTATCATACAACAGTTTGGGTTGGAAGGGACCTCAAAGATCATCTAGTTCCAACCCTTCTGCCATGGGCAGGGACATCCTCCACTACACCAGGTTGCTCAAAGCCTCATCCAACCTGGCCTTGAACACCTCCAGGGATGAGGCATCTACAACTTCTCTGGGCAACCTGTTCCAGTGCCTCACCATCCTTGGAGTGAAGAATTTCTTCCTTATATCTAATCCAAATCTGCCCTCTTTCAGTTCAAAGCCATTATCCCTTGCCCTATCACTACACACCCTTGCAAAAAGTCCCTCTCCAGCTTTCTTGTTGGCCCCCTTTAAGTACTGGAGGGCTGCTAGAAGGTGTCCGGGAGCCTTCTCTTCTCCAGGCTGAACAACCCCAACTCTCTCAGCCTGTCTTCCCAGAAGAGGTGCTCCAGCCCTCGGATCATCTTCGTGGCTCTCCTCTGAACCTGCTCCAACAGCTCCACACGAAAGAAACAAAATTAGTTTAACCAGAACGTACAACTGGCTATCTAAAAACCCCATTTGGAAGTTCCGGATTTGTGAACACCTTCACGCTGAAATGAAAGAACATGATCAGCAAATACCGGCCGTCTTTATGTTTTAATGAAGATAAGCTAGTAAGGGATAAATTACTAATGTCTCTGTCAATTGCAGCCTAAGGCGAACATTTTCTGTTTATTAAAAATCTATCACCAAAGGAATTCTGTACAGCTTTACCTTTTTAAGCTAAAATCATGTCAGAGATATTAATGCTTTTTCTTAACTACTAACTTTTATGGATGTCTTCACAATAATAAAAACATGGCAGGTAGTAAACATTAATTAAAGAACAGCATCATTGTCAGAAAGTAATATTATCTGTAATTTTTATACCTCTTTAGTGTACTGCTCTCAGGTTTTAAAGAAACCTGATTAAGTCAATTAAGTATCACTGAGGATTTGAAACTAAACGTTTATTACAGAATCACAGCGTTCATTTTTCGCATGCTACTCCTACAAGTCTTTCTGACACTTCGAGCCCAGAATTTTACACAGAATTTGAACATCAGCTTCCAGCACAAGCACAGAATAGCCATTAATAATAAAAATACTTTTCATTCTATCTGACTTGAAGTAAATAAAGAAATTACTTTAAAAAAAGAAAAAAACTGAAGTAGAGCTAACTTGCAAATATAATTTCTACCCATAACAGCCAATATACTCTGATAACACAAAGAACTTGCAATCAGCCAGCCAATCCAATGCAACTATTCAATTGTTGATTGAAAGAACACCAGGTTTATCAATCAAAACTCACCTGTCAATGCAACCAGCTTCAAATCACAGGCTGACAAACTACAAAGGCACTTAGACAACATGAAATAAAACCTACCTGTTGAACATCCTGTTGAAAAACACATAGCTGAAGCCGCTGGTGCAAGCGGACCTTTCGATGCTGCCAAATATTTTCCAGTTGGCGCTGGTGGTGAAGTACTTCATGGATGACATCCAGAACATGATGAACTGCTTTTGAGTAGTTGGCAGAAGCGGTGAGAGAATCGGAACTCCCAGGAGTCAAAGGTCTCTGAAGTTTGTCAAGCAGTGACTTTCCATCTTGGCTCACCTGACCACCAGAAAGCATGAAGAATTACTTGTCTTGTCAAAAGCCTGCTATACTATTATTTCATTCCCCACCTCCTGTCCCCATTTTAGATGTCTTTGAGAACTCAGGGAGCAGTGATGAAGATTTTTTTTTTATTCTAGCCACGATTACATGTAATTGTTATATAAAAAAAGTATATTCTCCCTTTATGTAAGACAATTTTAAGTAGCAGCACTCTTAAATAACAGCCTGTCTTCCAATTTTTCGATTACCTTAAGAGTGCTTTTCCCTTAAGGTGAGTTCTTTTTTTCAACAGGTCAAGTCTAACTTAAAAGAAATACTGTTCTGCTCTTTCTCTAGTCAAAGCACCTAAAATTAAGCATTTGTCCAGAATTATCCTTCCAGAAGCATCTCTCTCTTTTTATTTGCTGTAAAAGCAAACCAGGAGGTTACTTTCTATAGGTTAATATTAATTTGATGAATACTTTTAGACCAACATATATAAATTAGGGTATGATTTGATCTGACACAATATACAGCTTTTAAATTGTTACTGTTACTGGTAAACCAAAGGCACACTGTTGTTTTGGCAAACTTAAACCTGATTAAATCACTTAAAATCTTTCCATGCAGCACAGAAAGGTACTCTTTTCCAAAATGTGTTAAACTATTGATGCTGACAAGAAACATTAGTCATTTCTAATTGTTGTCTTCTCTGATTCAAATCACAGCAAAAATATTCGGATTTACCTTGCATGTTAATTAAACAGCAATAATCCTATTTTATCTGGTCACTATTAATGTTTAGCACTTGCCAAGGCTGTTGAAAGCACTTTTCATTGGTGTTTAACTATGCTGTCACTTTTATCATGAAGCTCAGAGAACTGTTACAATTCATCTCCGTAAAGAACTTTTCTAATTGCCCATCTCACAGGCAGGAAAAATTCATCCAAAACCACAAGACTGGAGTGTAAATAATAGTCTGAATCCATCAAATCAACACCATGTCAGAAACAGAAAAATTGTCAAGGCCTTCCCCCAGCGGCTACTTTCAACAATTTTCACTAAATCTAGGAATATTTAAAATTTGCTATCCAGTAGTCAAATAGATCCAAATGAAATTTTTCTTCTAATAAATAGTTTACACGTGAATTTCTTTTTCAGTTCTAATTTAAGCTTTTTCATTTTAGCAATAAATATCAACACAGAGAAGGAAGCTCACTTTTGGAAAAGTAGCTCCCATAAAGTCAAGTCAGGCAGAAAAAGAGTAGAGTCCATAGTAGTTATTACAATGATGATTTTTTTTCTTGTCTGTATCCAAAGCAATTATCTACTACAAGTCTTTCAAATACTTCAAGATAACGGACTTCAATTATCTATCCGGAGTCCATAAAATTTAGAGGGGAAAAAAATTAATTGTGACAGCCCCTTGAAGTGATTACTTTATTAGCTTTACAAACAAGCTATTATGCACATTTCCTCTTCGGAGTTAACAGACTAAAGTCTTCTTCCTTCCCAGTACATGACTGCCTTAAGATTTCAGTGAGATACATAACTTCATTTATATATATAACTTCATTTAAGGCACAGCTATTGGATTTTCAAGCACACCAGTTATCTAAGCTTTTAAGCTAGTAACTAACTTTTCTAGTAATATACAGTAATTATCCTCAGTAAAATCAGACTGTCTAGTCTTAAAAGCATTTACTCTCTTAAAATGTACTGTCTTCTACTTTGGAACCAAGTCATGTTGTCAAGACATTGTAATCTAAAATGAATGACAAAGTGTTGCAATTTCCACAGTGTTCCTCTCTCTCCCCACACCGTTCATTCATCACAAAATGAAAGGAGCTCCGTGCTGTAATAGAAATGAAGTCATACATCTAATAATGATAAGCAATGGTTCTGTAATATCTTTACACAGAAAGACAACTCCATCAATCCTCAAGAAGGAATGCATGTTTAAATAAGGCAAAATAAAACCTTCTATCCAGATGAGGAACACAACTTGTACACACACATACCACTATTATTTCTGCACCAATTCCGGTAGCTAAAGACAAAGCTATTGTTTTTCTAGCGGGGGAAAAAGTAATGACCTGAAATTAAAAGAAAGGCAGATAACATTTTTTTTTTTGGAGCAGTACCAATGAAGATTTTGTTAAAATCTACAGCTATCCTTAAGTCAAAAACTACAGCTTTGAAATCCTAAATAAATTTTCAAGGTATTTGCCAGAGCAATCCTATAATTTACCTACGTAATTTATTTTCATTGTGCATCACCAGGAAGCAAACACTATTTAACATGGTAATCCACAGTACTTATTTACACTTAACAGCAGGCTCTAATCCAGTCACATCCCTGACGAAAAAAAAACACAAAAACCCCACAATCCAAACCAAACAAAACCAAACCAAAAAATCCCATTGTTTTAACTTCAATGCCTTATCATCATTATTCCAGGCTGCCCTCGCCTTCTTTTTCCTTGCTGTATTCTGATGGAGCATGCACCCCAGATTGCCTCTCTTCACATAAATCCACTACAAACGTGCTATGTCTCTGTCCCTTGTTTTACAAAAGGATCCTGCCAATGAAGAGAGGTTATAATGAAGAAAATAAATCTTCCTAAAAAACATGTTCTCAAGAACGAGTAAGAACAGGTATGTACAGTAAGATCACAAGTTTTACCACCAAAAGCGTGCTCTAGTATGTCATTGGATCAGTTGCCATAGTAAGGTGGCATATATCAGGAATGAGGATATCAGTGTGTATTTTCATAGAATCATAGAAGGGTTTGGGTTAGAAGGGACCTCAAAGATTGTCTAGTATCAATCCCCCTGCCATGGGCAGGGACACCCTCCACTACACCAGGTTGCTCAACACCTCATCCAACCTGGTCTTGAACACCTCCAGGGATGAGGCATCCACAACTTCTCTGGGCAACCTGTTCCAGTGCCTCACTGCCCTCAATGTAAAAATTTTTTTCCTTATCTCTAATCTAAATCTGCCCTCTTTCAGTTTAAAGCCATTGCCCCTTGCCCTATCACTACATGCCCTTGTAAAAAGTCCCTCTCCAGCTTTCCTGTAGGCCCCCTTTAAGTACTGGAAGGCTGCAGTAAGATCATCCTGGAGCCGCCTCTTCTCCAGGCTGAACAGCCCCAACTCTCTCAGCCTGTCTTCATACACAGAACAACTCATATGAACTCTGGACATCTGGCTCATGGTAGTAAAGTTTATGCAGCCCCTAAGATGGCAGGTATTCAAAAAATCCAGTTTTGATATACTAACAATAGGGCTGATCATCAGTGCTAATCTTACCCTCCTTTACTGCTACATGAAATGTGATCAGACTTATGACTCAGTTGCCTATAAATAGAGTTGGTGAATAAGAAAGTAGTTATATCTTTAATGTAATGTATAAATAACAATCATTATTTCAATCCCACATGACGCCGTTTTAAAAGAAGGCACAAGCTGTGGCCTAAGCTATACTGTGTCCACTGATCATTTTATACCATGACTTAATCAAACGCGTACTTTTATGCAACTTTCATGAGAACAGAAACTACTGTGTTTAATCCAGAAAAACATCAATTCAATTTAACAGCAAAAACAGTTTTACCCTGTGATGAGAACAACCCTGGAAAAAGAAAGCAAGAAAAGTTCAACACAGAAAATACCTGTTAGCTAATAGTGAAGTCAAAACCCATTTGACTTCTCACTTCAGATAACTAAAGCACATGAGAGAACTCAATATTTGAAGAAAAACAATAGATACTTTAGTCATCACTTTCTAGGTCATCTTCAGAATAGGCATTTTATCTGAAGTTGTAAATACATCTGTTAGAAATACTAAGAAATACTATTACTTCATTATGTGCAGAATCCAAGATTAGAGCAGCAGCATAGGATATGCTAATCTTACGAATGCTGACTACGTCGGTATGCTGGCTCATTTAAGTGTCTTTGAGGTTGGCAAAGATAAGTATATAGCTTCCGGCTTGTCAAGTGACGTCTTTTGATGGTTAAGTAATTTTTGCAAGGCAATTTCAGAGGTGGATTTTCAAAACACACTTAAAGCGATCCATGCCAACAGAATACCTTCCCAAAGAATATCCAGTCAGCCTCCCTTCAAGTAAATGTTTAAATTATAGTATCATACTGCTACTAAAAGGTAGTGTCGTGGGTTAGGCTGCTCCGGCAACCAAACCCTACACAGTTGCTCACTCCTCCACCCCAGGGATGAGGGAGAGAATCAAAGAAGAAAAAGAAAAGAGACTCGTGGGTTGAGATAAGAACAATTTACTACTACTGCTACCAATATATATATGTGTATGGATAGGTACAAGGATAAACATATACAAATGAGTGATGTACAGTGTAATTGCTCACCACCCCTTGACCGAGGCCCGTCTCGTTACGAAGCTGCAATCCCGAAACGGATAAATCCCGACACCGCAATCCTGGATGAATGGGAGGCCCCGAGACAGAGCGCAAGAGAGAGAGAAAGCACTCCGAGAGTTCGAAAGTGAGAGTCCCAGAAGGGCAAAATCCCTTCTTTCTGGCTGACCCTCACTTTTATACTGGGCATGACGCTGCATGATATGGAATACTAATTGGCCAGTCTGGCCCTCAATCTTAAGTTCCACCACAAATCACAAGGGGAATTGTGGACCCCTTGTCCCGGCTATGCTCCCCCCTTATCCTGTTGTGCTCCTGCACACTGGCAAGAACCCAGCAAGCTGAAAAGTCCTTGAGACCTCAGTGTCAACTACAAACTTCAGTGCTCTATCAACATTCTTCTCAGAGCGAGCCTCTGAGTAAAACCAAAACACGAAGCTCTTCTAGCTGCTAAAAAGAAGAGCTAACTCTGTCCCAGCTAAAACCAGGACAGGTGTTAATATGCAAATGTAAATTAAAACATGCTTAGTACACTGCATGTGTTGTTTGTACCACACATGGTCCCATCTTGCCTTTTAAATTTCTTTCAGAAGGCTACAAGGAAGACTTAAGTAACTTAACTTTTGAACAACAGTAGCGGAGTCCAGTATACTAAATTAAAAAAGAAGCCTGGCACTTGATTTTGCAACTAATGCACTATGCAACAAGCAATGCCAGTTCATGACCCAACCTTAACATTACGTTATCAGCAATAGAGCAAATTAGCAACCTAAGGAAACAAATAAGACACTTACCTCAGAGTAAGCCAAGGTAATATGCTCATATATCCCTTGATGATGGTGGATAGCATCTTCTAAATCTTGCAGTTCTGAGGGAAGCTCCACCTCACCACAGGCTTTACACCACGAGTCCACATTGCTCATGTACTGCAACAGAGAAAAACCATTCTGCTTAATTTTGGATTCTATCAATAAGCAGACAATATACAAAACAATTGGCATCTGTGTGACAGCCACTGAAAAGGTGGGGTTTTTTTTAAGGGAAAAGCGTTTAATGTATTTCTCTCTGAACTGACCAGAGTGACGTTTGTATCAGAAGAGAAACAAATATTCAAGTCTGACTATACTTGTGCTTTCAGTTATACGGAACAGTTTGAGCCACTCACAGACAGGCAGGCTTATTTGTATGTTGACAGCTTTCAGAACCGATTAAACTGTTGGCAATACCGATGCTTCAAGTTTACCCTTCCTCCTTTGCTTGACTTTGCAGCTAAGAAAAAGTTTACTCACCCCGCACCTATCATTGCAGGTGCATGAAAGCCAATTAAGGTCTTGACTACATGAAAACGTAAAACATGCTACAACTTTCAAGCCCAGATCCTCAGCTCTTACCCCTCAACTCCCTGTGCAGATACTCATGGTATCATCGGGTATCACCTCACCTTTTTTCAACCTTCAGAGAAAACCAAGTTACTTTGCATTTGTGTGCACATGCACACACACAGAAACTACTAACAGTGAACTGTTCACTGAAACACTCCACAGTTGTCTTTTGCTGGAAAGACATCATCAAGGAGGCAAGGCAGTGTTAGAGCACAGCATATTCGCACCTCGGTCCCCAAAGCACGAACTTCTACACGCAGAGAAGCACTAAATCCATTTGGCAAGCTACTAAAGCAGCAAGCATGTAATGGATTTACAAGTTAAATGGGGGTCTCTTAGGACTAGCACTGAACTTTGGGCACATGGCTATGTCAGCATAGCTGCTCAAGTCAAGCCTTTCAGGGGAAATGGAGGGTACTGCAACAGAATCCCTTCTGCAGATAATTTAAGTTATCTTCGAAGCTTAAGCTGTCTTGACAGACAAGAAACTGCCAGCATAGCTGTATGCACAGCAGAAGTTTTGTCAACTTATTTTTGACAGCTAGGGGGCATGAATTTTATACCTTCATTATGCTAGGAAGGGAAAGGGGAAAAAAGAATCTGTTTTTCTAAGAGTTTTCACAGCTGTTAAACTTAGTACAGCTGAGCACATGTGCTATCTGTAAACTAAATTTGTCCTCTATTCACTTCAAGTTCAAGTCTCGACAGTTTTAAAAGACCAAGCTGTTTCTCTCATCTCACGTATCTTAATACCTGGAGCACATGTAGTCTTTTGAGGAAAACATAATCCACGGGCCATTTTTGATATTCTATTATTGTCTGAAAGCAAGGAGGAAGGGTGATACAGCGCTTAACTCTAAGATACTTATTTAATTCTCATTTCATCAAGGGACAAATTTAAAAATCTCTAACGTTAAGCACTGAACATTAAAAGAAGCTCCATCTGGAACCACAGAGCTACACCTCTTGCATCAGTCAGCAGGCATTGATGGCTTGGTGCAGTCTTCACCATGTCTGACAGCAGGCAGCAACACCTACCTGTCACTTGCAAGGCAACACATGCATTCAAGAAGGGCGTGTTATGTCTTTGGCTGCTTATTTTTTAATCATCTTTTTATGTAGGTCAAGCATCACCAGTCTCTAAAGAGGTCACTCCTCTCATTCCAAATCCTCTTTCCTTGACTCACTCCCCACTGCTAATGAAACAGCTAATATATCACAGCCAGGTATTTTAGAAAGCAACTACGACAGCCCATCACAGTTAATCATAAAATGAAAACTGCAGAAGGAGCAATTAAAGAGTAAGTAAATGAATAGCAGCAGATGCTGCACTATTTTCTCTCATTTTTCTCTTTTCTCCTGTTTACACTTATGCTTAGTGCTGAAGAGGGTAAAACCGACCCTTACCACATCTGCCCAGCACACAAACACAAAATTTACTCCTCTGACTTCTGATGAACATCATTTTTTTTATGAAAAAGGACAGCACTTTAGTCAGGGTATATCTATCTGTTCACGTTTCATCATCTTTCTCCTAAGTGTATGGCTGACAGTGCTTAAATGCAAACCTGAATAACTCAAGTAATTAGAAAAGCATCAACACTGATAAGGCACCACACTACATCTAACGAATGCTTCAAGCTGGTTGGTGACTTTTACACCAGAAACCAATTCCTTCCTCTCCCTCTTATGTGGCTTTTCTGCAAAACCTGCTAAAAACACCTATTATAGTGGCATCAGTTTATATAGTTCACCTTAGTCTGTCTAAGGACAGTTAAATCAATGTCACCACTAACATAATCAAAAGCAACATGCCTTTGCATCTTAATAGGCTCACATTTCCAACTTCAGAAATGTCCAGAAATTAAATAACTGTGTAGTAGAAATCAAGAAAAAAGGGTCTTTATTATAAAGTGCGCTGCTTCTCTCTAATTCTGCAGTTATCAGCTCCCAAGTGATTCCTTCATTTATTCCAAATTAAAGTTATATCAGACATGAGGCATTTTCTTGGATCCAATTTAGCAAGGCAAATGGAAAGAAAAGTATCTACAGCAGCCATACAGCACACCAGAGCTTCAGTCAGCCATAATCATCCAAGAACCTCTGCTCTCCAAAATCACCAGAGAAGTACAGAGCAGACAGTCTATAATATCAGTGGGTGACTCAACAGCACAGGCATAGCAGCTCCTTCAGAACTGAACTCCCTTGAGGGGGAAACATGCTTCCGCCATCAAGACTATTAACTTGGGGATATTTATTCCTATTTCCCCTACATATACCACTTCTCTGGCAGCTACACATGGTTAATGACTTAATTAAAATAATTGGTGTAGGCCTAAAGCTAACATTTTTGTTCAATATAGGAGGAATCTCTTTTGGGATACTAAGTAAACATCTCCCACTACAATTTCAGATTCAGAAGACAGTTAATTAACTTCTCAACTTCCAGGCCAGTTCAGCTTATTTTTCTATAAGCAATTACTACGAGTTAAATCTTGACACTGAAGGGGTGGAGCGGCGAGAACAACAGAACGTGTGAATAATTTCTGGAGGTAGGAAAGGTATTATACTGATACTGACTACACTGAATTTTGTCGTTTCCTTCTTTCAACTTAAAAGCTTCATATAATTAATTATTTCTGTCCACTTCATTTTGATAGATATATCTGTTTTGGCTAAGTTTTATCTTGCCTTGATACGGGCAAAGCATTTTGTGAAGAATACAGGGGCAGTGGGCTGGCCTGAGGAGAACAAGTTTTTGTTTGAAAATCAGCTGAAATCAGTAGAAATGAACGCTCTGGCTTTCTTGCTGACCTTTTCAATCCCTCTCTTGTCCTTCTGTCTAAATCAAAAGCAAACACTACAACTCAGCATTTCAGCATGGAAACTTTTGTTGGTACCGTCCCCATTCACTAACCTGTTCAGCTTTCTGATGGAAGATGGAGGACATATCCAGTAACGTGCTACGTTCATCCAAGGCTGCAGCAAATGCCTTCCATTCTTGCTCCAACTGACTAGCGATCTGTTTTATTTGCTGCGAAGCATAATGGCCAGACTCAACCAGGCGATTTGCTACTGACATGATGCGGTTTATGTTTACATACACATTCTACAGAAAAGAAGGGAAAAATTAGTGAAAGTTAGGAGACCACTTAAATACAGAGGTATACTACAAAATTCTTCCTTATTACAGTATTGCTTAATAAATTGGTTTTATTTGTCAAGTTTGTGCACGTCTAACTTTGGAATCTAGGTGTATAATGTAACAGCCTATCTGTATTATGGACAAGGGAGAAGAACAACTTGAAACGATCAGAGAGTCTCATGCTAACGTTAACGGTCAGCTTAAAGTCATATGATATGAAGACCTATTATTACAATGAAGAGGAAAAGCTAACCACATTTGCAATAGCCTCAGTAAGAATGTTTACAGACGTTCAAGTCAACAAGACATTCAGATACGCACAGCAGAGGCAAATCGAAGTACAATTAGCAAGGACTTGATCTATCCATGGCATGCATGTGTGAAACATCACTCTACAAATCTTTACATCAACTTTTGAAAGTATTTCTACCTTTATGTAATAAAATACTGAATTCTGTGTTCTAAGGAGTTCAACAGTTTTAGATTTTATTCTCCTGCCCCTATATTGCCTCAGAGCTAGCACTGACAACTAGACAAATAAGGTCAAAGATCAGAAAGATTCTCTAGCATACTGGCATTACTCAGTGATGGCTCTTAGTCACTCTAATTTTCTTTCCTTTTAGGGCATGTGCATTTTGGCCTGAAGTGTCTAAACTCTGTTTCTGTTCTGATTCTGTATGAACAAACAATATTTTTCAAAGGAAACAGTCAAGAGTTTCTAACTCCTGCAAAGCCAGAAACAAGAACAACTTCACCACCAAAAGGTTTCCGAGTAGCTCTTCCGTAGCTACATGTGTATAAGGCCAAGTTGACACTTCTTTCAATTGTGCTGACCCTCATACCCCTAGAATGAAGTTCTTAGAATCACAGGTTGTTGAGGCTGGAGATCATCTAGTCCAAACCTACTGCTCAAAGCAGGTTCAATCAGATCAGGTTGCTCAAGGTCATGTCCAGTGGGGTTTTGAAAATCTCTAAGGATAGAGAGACCACAATCTCTCTGGGCAACCTGTTCCAGTGTTTCTTATGATTAAATGGAATTTCTTGTATTTCAACTTGTGTCCATTACCTCTTGTTCTCTTACCACAGAGAAAAGTTTGGTTCTGTCTTCTTTACCCGCTCCCATCAGATATTTATGTTTTTATATACATAAGATTGCTCCTAAGCATTCCTTTATCCAGAGTAACCAATCCCAGCTCTCTCAGGCTCTCCTTGTACAACACAAGCATATCACACAGGTACTTTAGAGAAGAATATGGTCATGGTGACTTCCCAGAAAAGGAATGAGAGCTTTCCACATAATGCTGTCCTGTAGGCACATCCTAATTTGTGTGTGTACATTTGGAGCGACTCCAGTTCAGCCTTGTTTTGTTGACAAGGTCCCTTTTGTTCACATCACAGCAGATCCTTTGCTTGCCAACCCACTCCACTACTTCTCACTTGATTGTTGGTCCTCTTCTCTCTATTCCATCATTCTTACCCTAAAGCTCTTCTTATCAGGTTATTCAGCCTGTTGGGAAAGATACTTTTGCCCCACTTAGTTGAATAGCAATCCTTGATCCTCACAGAGAGACTGCCATGGTTGCAGAAAACAAATCTGTTGCCGGCATCTGCCTTTTAACCAGTTGCTGACCTGCACAATCCATCTACCCTCTCACCAGCAGGACTGAGAGGAGACCACCTGGCTCCCAGGCCCTTGACTATTGCTTCTGGAGGCATGTAGTCATGCTTGAGACGTTCCAGGTCACCCCTGGCAGTATCACTGGTGCTCAGATGGAGGAGTGGCAAGGGCCAATAGTCTTTCCACAGCATCCCAAATCCGAGCCCTTAGAAAGCTGCAAACTTCCATAGAGAATGAGTCAGGTTGGCAGACAGGGGTGTCTGTTCCTTGCAGAAGGGAGTCTTCCATTACTATCACTCGTCTCTTCCTTTTAGTGCTCCTGTGTAGCTCAAACTCAGATGGCACAAATGCTTTATTTGACAGCTCCTGGCTCCTCATCAGCCGTGAGGTCAGTGAACCTATGCTGTAGTTGCACATCTTCAGGTGGAGCAGAAACGTTCCTCCGAGTGCCAGAAGCCATTATCTTCCAATCTTCATCATCATGGGAGTCTCCACTTCCCAGACAGACAGGCACAGACTCTGCCTGACCCTCCTCCCTTCAGTACAGCTGTTAGTTTGGGCTCTGAAGCTGCAGAGCATTGGAAAAGATCCGGTCAATCTCTTTCTCATTATGTCAGACGCCATGCAGACTGCTGACCTCCTCCCGCAGGTCCTTTACTTGGTGACACAGATTCTTAATAACTGCACACCTCCTGTGGGCACAGAAGCCACCTCCTGCTGCCCCAGCCTTGGCAAGAGGCCACAGGTGTTCCCCACAGCCCCAGATCAGCAGAGCTGTGTCCTCCTTCTGGAGCTCCCTGTGGGTTGAGGCTCCTGATGTTACAGGGATAGCCTGTCCAGCAGTAGCTGGGGACTGTGCCCTGAGGCACATCACCACCGTTGCTGAGGACATGGATGCTGTTCCGAGCAGACATGCTGGACCCTTCTGCATGAACTGCAGCCCAAATTGCTGCGTCCATTGGCTACTTCTGTTAGCTGCACTCATTCTCACCTATATCCTAAAAATTTATGTGGGGGGCCAAGCTGCCAAAGGCTATCACACAGAACAGTTGGGAAGAAAACAATGAACATAATCAAAATCTCAACATTCTGCAGTGACATATTTTTCCCTCTTGTCCATGCAGTGCTTTCTAGGACACCAGGACACAGGCAATGCCAAGGAGCAGTCAGCTACCTGTCAGCAGCATCTCAGCCTTCCCTGATGGAGGGTTGAGGAACACAGTCCACTGAGCCAGGGGACAGAACTGACGACAACAAGCATCAGTAAAGGCCACAGCTCAACAAGTGACAGAAGAACAAAACCTGAAATTGCTGGAAAACTGTATAGTTATACTACTGTTGAGAGATTTGATGAGCAGCTTGAGCCAAAGTCTGACTATACCCCTGCCAGAGAGGTCAGGAGAGAAGCACTGGCATATGGACACCCAACACCACATAGATGCCAAGCATCTGAGGCAGAATCATTACCTGTTGGCGTCAAGCTACTGCCCAGAGTCCGACACTGACTGTCTGGAGCAAGTGTTGCAGTTCCTCCAGGCTTCACTGTGCTGACTCATCTGAGTGGTAATTGGCACAGCTCTCTATTAATTGTAAATGTATGTGTGTATGCAAGCAGGAGCACACCTGACAGCCTACACCTCAGCTGATCCACTTAATAAATTGAGCATAGCAGTGTCACGTTGGCTGTTTTTCCTTCCTGCACCATGCTACCTTTTCATTTTTTAGGTTATTCCACCTACCTATGCTCTCCTCTGAAGCACAGCTGAAGAAAACAGAACTGCTATTTCCAACAAATTTTAAAAGACTGGAGAGCATTTAGGCCTATTAAAGTATATGTACCATAAATACAAAACTACTAAATGAATCCAGAAAACTATTGCATGGTCTTTACAGTTGTATGAAAAAAAAAAAAAAACGTGTCAAAAAGGAAAAGAATAAGAGCTATATTAGACTGCTGTTTGAACTGTTTGTGTACCATAATACAGGAATTTTCTAAATTCTGGAATGTCAGTTAGATACAAAGGGCAGGGCAACATAAACGTGAAGTTAAACAAATCAAAACTGAGCTGTGGTTAAAATGCATTCGTTTTCCCATGGAAATCTGCCTTCATAAGCGGGGAAGAATACCCTCTGTAGCAGTATGAATATGAATTAATACACTGACAGTCGAACACTTTCCAAGCTATGTATGCCACGCTCCTTTCCTCAAAAAAAGTCCTATAATAATCTTTTTTTTTTCCCCCACTACCAGATATATCTACTAAAGGTGTAAATTTCAGTATTTTAGAACACAATGACTCAGAAGAGAGATTTAGTAAAGGAGGAAAAGAATCTCAAATTGCAACTCACTGCAACTGGACAGTCTTTAACTGATCCTTGAAGGTTAACAAATTTTGTTCAGTTTTCTAAACGGAAGAACAGGCAGGTCCACTGTCGTTACTATATGACAAATGCATACTTTGTGCACTGCTTGAGAAGCACTGTTCCAAGTAAGCTGGTGCTCAATCCCCAGGGACTGACGTCTTAACCGTCGCATGGATTTACATCCTGGTTTTAGTTAAAGCAGCGACAGCTATCAGGTAATAACTGTTGAAAGACTTGTTCAGCCATCTCATTTACATCATGCGGATCGGCATGAAACATCTGCAGCTTCTAAATGTGTACCAGCTGTCTAAAAAGTGAAAGGCTAAAGTGATACCACTTTTCTTTCATTGTTTTACACATGACTATTGTAATAAAACTAAAAAGGGAACGATTCAAGTTACTGCATTACAGTACGTGCAGTAAGTACATGAATATACTTAGTATAATTATTTTTTATCACTATGTCCTTTAGCCAGAAGCTGAAAAGGCACCTTACGATATCTGGAAAGTTCCTCATTGCAGAATTATTCCCTAAAAGGAATGCACATACAAAAAAGTATTACTCAGCAAGGCAACACAGATCAGTAGTCTAACACAAGCTGTAGCGCACTGTGTCATTTTTTGGTGTGTGCCTGAAAGCCAAGTACACAAGGGAAAACACAGGTGACAGCCTGCCAGCTTAACGGAACTCCTATCACATTCAATACAAAATAAACCTGGCAGATGCCCTGACAGTTCTATTTTATTTCCTGTTTTTCCCAGATCCATTTAGAAAATGTTTGTTTAGCTCTAAGATTTCAAACAGTAGTTTTCTGACACAGAGACTATTAAGCAATCAGTGTTAAAAACAACCACCTCAGTGACGTGGTCCATAAGCATCATAACTGGCACCTCTATATAGACTGTAGCAAATCTGAACTACTCATCTGTGATGAAAATATTTTAGCAATGGAATTTCCAAATCACCTGCTACTTCACACAC